TCTCAGCATCTCCTCATCTCATCCAGGTATCGTTTTCTGCACTGGATAATTTAAACTGGTCTAACCAGTACGTAAAAAGCTCATGTGCTTCGCGAAGGTACGACGTTAAATATTATAAATAAATAAATACGGTAACTAAACCCAACTTCTTTTGTGCCATCCAGGGCGCTGGGGAGTGCCGATGACTCGTTGACAATAGAAGTCCTCCTGGCTAATTTGCCAAAACCTTAGTCTTGGCGCTCACAAATGTTCCAAAGTTGAAAATCCCTCGAAGATGTCAGTCCCAGCATGCTCTTCAGAGGCCTGTTCCCCCTCTCGCTCCACATCTCAGCCGCTTGTCCTTTCTCAAGATGTATAATCCTATTAGAGCAATGGCCCCCCACAAGCCGGGATCCCAACTTTGTATATTATGACTTAATATCCTCCTTGCAAACATTAGGGCTTGACTCTCAGGATCAACTGACATATAACTGTAATATTCTAATTAGAAATTAGCCTATGAATTAAGAAGCTCTTTACGTAGGTCCTTAAGGAGTCTTTCATAGTCTAGGACTCAGTGGAGACTTAAATTTAAATCAATCAATTTATCAGTCCTCCTTGCGGGTATGTCTAGCATCGTAAATTTTTAACGGGAGATGGCTGGTAATTTGTGGGGCAAGCTCCTGTTCGCAATTGGAACAACTCCTTTATTGGTTGTTGGGGCGAGATGATGTATGGTTAGAAAGAGGCTGAGTCAGACGAGAATGGTAAGAGAGGCATTATCGAGAAGTCTTCTGATGGAGATGTGCTTGAGGTTGCTTTCGACTTCGATTCGGTTGCGATTCTTCTTGGCTGTCCTAGATATGCAGAGTAGACTGAGCGATTACACCGGCACCACTGCATGGTGAAGAGTACGTTTTTGCCGGCGGGCTGGATCAGATTACAGTCTCTTATGGGGTGTAATAGTACAATTGTCAAAATGACTGGGATTAGATCCCTGTACATATTGCCTTAATTGGTAAGGTCTTCATGCAGGCCCATGTCTAGTTTATCGGCTAGTTATGCAAGCAGGGGTGCTATCCAACGATATTCCGTGAAAGTCTAAATTATGGGGATGGTTTTCAACACCAAAGTAAATGTACAATGGTCTTCATTTAAAATTAAAATTTAAAAAAAATTCAATTGATATTATCTAAAAATACACATCTGTTTCAAAAATAATTGCTCTGTGTTACAAAAGTCTACATCGAAGCCCTCAGTGTGGCTCACAACTAAATTGAAAGCGTACTACATGTTTTGTATTAGTCTGCTCCGTCCCAATACTTTTTGTACCCCCCATTTTCCTTTAACACCGCTATACATCTTTTGTGCATGTTGACCACACTTAACAGAAGTTTTTTCCGAGCAATGCATCTGCTGTAACCCATTTTATTGAGAGCATTTGAAAGTTAATGCTCATTGCATCCCCAGTGGCTGAAGGATCACATTGCTAGTTCTAAATAGCACATCTGTCGATTTTCAGGAGATTTCCGGACGAAAGCCTCTAGCTCATCAACTTGTTCCGCACTTGATTTAGGTGAGGCTCCTTTGCGAGGCATAGGAGTCTCAGTCTCTTGAGCACACGCAAGTTGCACTTGCCTTCTTGTGAAGCCAAGTTCGTCGGATATATGTTGTAATGTCAAGCCAAGTCTTCTTAATATTCTTCTTTCAATACATTGATCGCGAGTTAGATGCTTGCGAATTTTGGTTTCTGAAGCATATTTTTCGAGAGAAATTGTTTGCTAGGATAGAGGATGAATTGATAGTGATGTTAAGAATTAAAGGCTTTGTTGGTTAGGCAGTCAGGAGTGTCGTTGAAACTGTGTTTTTCTAAGCGATTGTTAGAAGAACACGATTGGACCATACTTCATAGCAAGCGGGGTGATAAGGAGAGACAGTCTAACCTATTGTTAGCTAGCCGAGCTGCACCTACAGGGCTAATCCCTTAAACAACCCAGTTTGAAGCCTAAAATTTTGTAACCTAGAGGCACTGTAACTACTGTATAACTTAGAGAGAGCATCGTGTGAATGTCACTTAAATCTTCAGAATGTTAGAGCAAATACAAGAATGAATGATTAATTACTATGTGCTACGACGAACTCGTTGCATTATTACATCTAATTCTACCCTATTAACGCCCCTGATCATCATTCTTAGACCAATATGTGTCTGTAAAAATCGTACAATCGCTTCTGAACTGGGTTCAGACTTATGCTTGCATAAGTCTGCTTACAAATACTATATAAATGCATAAACCTCATCCTACCTTAGTGTCCTGACCACCTCAATCTTCACCAATGTGTTAAACATGTCAAGTATACCTGTCCAGTCACCTACCCCATTCGAGACAGGAGAAAGCTGGTTCGAATCCCGTAAAACACACACACCACTCTCTCTCGCGGTGATATCGTTCTTGTGGGATGATGAAAGCACACTCGGATAGCCACAGGGTTTTAACGCTTTTCCCTGTGGTGGGTATGCACGGAAGAGGTTATACGCCGTAAGGGTTAACCTCGAGTGGTATCTGCAAATGAAATCTGAGTGTGAGTGTTCTAATCGTCAAATTAAGTCATGCTTAAAGTACACATCTTCCGATAAAAACCTGCATGGGCCTCAAGGCGCCAAATCAGGATAATGAACTATATATATACCTGTCCAGAGAACTGGATTTTAATACGTCGAAGCGCAATTTCATCCTAAGCCTCGGCCACCGTACATACTAGCCCTTGATATCCTCCTAATTTCTATTCTTATTTTTCCCACCAGTCCCAGTCATGACTCGTCTTGGCATCTTCTAATCTTATTTAGGGGTTGTTCTCTTGTTATGCTCAGACATTTAGTATGGTAGATCTAGTGGATCGCGCACATGTAGTTTTTATGGCACATGAAGGAGATCCAGTCTCTACATAACGGCAATACAAGTAGTACTGTATGCTGTATGAGAGATGAGCTGTTGATTCAGGAAAAATGGCATAGTTGCTTGGTTGGGAGCACACTTTGGTGAGCTGCATACTGGTTACGTGATCAGCCTACAAGCGCAAAAGCTAGGAGATAATGGACGAGCTTCCCCCAGTCTGTAAACAACAATTATCGTAGTAACTTCACTCCTGCTCCCATTAAAGAAGATATCTCTCCTCAAACTATCTCAGCTGTTCCAGCGCAATTGCACATTCCAAAATCACACATCAATCATAGCATCCCTTCATCGGAGACCTCATACAGTTGACGGGCGAGGCCCCCACCTTTTTCTTTCGTTTCTTTCCCTATTATAGCTGTCCTTATCCTTTATTTCAACTTCGCCATAATAAAAACTTTGTAGAATCTCTAACCCTCTGGCCTTGACCTGTCGCTGCTGTACCCCTAACCATGGAGTCTGAAAATGGGTCGAAAAGCCCAAGATAGAGGCAGCAGTGCCCCAGACTTTGTCAAATGCTCTAGTTATGTGCCAGCAAAATGTCGTATGTATTTTGTAGGTGGAGATTTGTCGCAGGTCTAGTTGTTGGAGCCCTTGTTCGATGTTGGATTAATAAAGGGCCAGTATTCCGATCGGAGCTTCAGAGCACACGACGCTTATGAGGGGATAAATTTCCACTTGAATCTTAGATGACGAATAAGAATTTTGGAGTGCTTCGGTGAGTGGTGAATTACTGTGGAGAGGCTCGCTAGAAAAGTTTAGATGGCAAATATAATTCAGGCAAATTTGAGAATGTGAAGAATGTCAGTTTCATCATTCCTTCCAATCCAAGAGTCAATAGGTATTTTAAAGATATTATCTTCATCCAAGTGCATGCTTGAGCATTGCTACGGCCTTGACCCCACCCAGCTCAATATCAAATCACGTGGAATTACGTGGCACTTGAACATCAGCACAATGCTCCCCCGGGCTCCTTCCATTCTCATGCCGAAACAGATGTACTCTCTTAACATTTGTAATTGAGCTGCCTTCATGCCACACAATCCACTGGTGATTGGCACAATCTTTTATGATAGAAAATCTAATGTTGGAGCTGTCGACAGCGAAAAATATCGATCGGTAGTGTTGAATAGTGCAGCCTACTTTACCCTTGGGTGGTATAGGCCTTACACTTAACATGTTGCCTACAAAAACTCCAGGTTGTATGGTTGAACGTACGTTTAATCGGGCAATACAAGCTGAATACCATGCATGAATAGTCCAGCTTTAACTATTCTGGAAAATTATCCTTGGTTTTTCTATGCAAAATAAAGGGATCATTTCCATGTTGGAAGGGCTAGACTTCATTCTTTTGTCGATTTTAGAGAGAGGTACAAGATATTCTAGGCCTACAGATTTTACGTGAGAATGTAAATAGTGAATACGTAAACTGTGAATTGTGAATGGTGAACTGAAAACTCGATATAGCCTGATACTGACCTACATAGTAATCAAGAATATTTTGAATTAGTAATTTTTGAAAACTTTATGAGGAATTTCAATAAATGGGTTGACCCAGTTTCATTCGGCCGTCTCTCCAGACGGATTATATAGAAAGATTTTACTCGGTTAGTACGACCTGAACACTGGTAAAATAAAGCACAACAGATTTCATCTAATTGCTATTTGCAAAGTACTGATGGGAATCTGCTGCTCGCAAATGTGACGAGCTACAAGTGTACTATTGCGGTGAGAAGCGATGGCAGCGCGGTTCGCGTTCTGTTTGTCTTGGTTGCCGCGGTATACCCTGTTCTCGGTCCTATTATATCTCGCCCAGCCACGCCCGCGTTCAGCCTCCCTTATTACGCGTTTCTTAGTATAGATAGGGTCTAATCTCTCCTTAGCAGTCCTCCTACAAGTTTAGTAGCCCTATGTAGTTATAAACTATGGTGGGTGCAACTGCTTTTAAAATCCACTTAATATTTCTCACCTAAACAATGATTAATTGAAAAATTACTGGCCCATGATAGGTTAGAAACGCCATCACAACCAAAAGTACAATTCGAACAAAGCTAATGTGCGAACACTATGCCAAACAAGATGAAGCTTCATGGGCTCAACACGATGCATACATCAGGAATCTTCTCTGATATGACAGTCGATGGGCCTGAGATTGGAACCCTAGTTGTAATAGTTGACCGCGCAAAAAATCTCCCTAACAGAAAGACTATCGGAAAACAGAACCCATACTGTGCGGCAAGGCTTGGAAAGGAAGCTAAGAAAACGGAGACGGACCATCGTGGCGGCCAAACCCCAAAATGGTAAGAAAACTCCAACGGTTAGGGCATTGCGTTCTTACCATTGAATTGATCTAGGGACCAGGAGCTACGATATACGGTTCATGATTCGCCTGATTATTACAATCTGAAGGTATCAGTTTTCAACGATGATAAAAAGACAGATCTTATTGGAGAAACCTGGGTTGATTTGAAGGAAGTTATAGTTCCAGGTGGCGGGCAAAACGATATATGGCATAACTTGAGCTGCAAAGGTAAATATGCTGGTGAGATAAGGATTGAGATCACCTATTACGATACAAGACCGAAACAAGAGAAGATCGAAAAGACTAAACAAACCCCGTCAAACGGCCATGAAAGTGTGAGCAAAGCTCAAGTTTCGAGCGGACAAAGACAACCAAAATCAACAGTAAAACGCAGGCCTCTACCTTCTGATCCCACAACAGGAGAAACCACTACAAATTTTACAACGAGCATTTCGGAGCGTTCAGGCAGAAGACCGCCACCACATGATCTTGTCACAAGCGAAACAGGCTTAGCAAGTTTTCAGTCGAAGACTTCAGATTTTGCTCAGAGTCCATCTCGCCAAGTGCTAGAACTCGATCAGAATTCATACCGAGACTATCGAGAATCATTAAATTCTGTCCAAGATTATGGTCATTCACCTCGGGATTCACAGGAACCTTCCCCAAGAGCAGCTCATAGATACAGCACACGAGTGCAAGAGAGAAACCAAAGATTAAATCCCCAATGCCCATCTCAACAGTCTAAAGTCCCCGAAAATTTATATAACCCACGCTATTCGACAAAACATCAAGGAGAATATACCAACCCTCTGGGATCAACTACATCAGTAAACTTAGTACAAAATGATCGATATATGGAACAGGAACTTATTTCGCGGAATGATTTCACACAAAACATGGGGAGAAATTGGACCGGAATGACAGAGGACAATAATTCTCAGGAGCAATATCTTCCACAAAACATAACATATCAAATCCCGACATCAGAGCATTTTGATGCGTCTCCGCCAAGCCCAGATGGCCCTCCTCCTCCACCTCCAATCCATAGAAGCATGAATTCGCATGGTGTGGCTGGACACTCCTCTCCGGCAGTAACCCCTCGAAGAAGCTATGTATTTCCCGCTGGAATACCCGTATCTCCTAGCTACGCCTCGCCAATAAACGATTCAAAATTTACTCCGCTGGTACATGAAAGAAACAGTTCATATCAAGCTTACAGTCCCCAAAGAGACCAAGAAAAATACCAACCATCACCTAACGGAAGTTATCAAGAATCTCCTACACAACACCATTCTTATAATTCTAGATATGATGGATCTTCGTCTATGCAGCCGACTGTTGAAGATGCGCCACCATCGCCTAGCTCCGGTAGGTATTACTCACACCGTAAAAATTCAGAATATCAACCCTCACCTTGTAAAAGTAATAAATGCGAACAAATTGTCGCTCCAATTCCTCGGAGACTAGGTAATAGACAAAGTTTTTCTTCTGAACGTCGAGGATCATCTTCCGGGTCTTCACAGCAGTACTCCAAAAGTTCAAACGATCTTTCATCCATCAACTCTCGGATGTCATATATAGATCGATCTGCTGAAACATCGGACTCATCAAGACCAGGATCTAAAACCTCAGCCTGCCAGGAATCAAGATTAAGAGGGCAGTTTGAACATCATGGCCAAGAGAGAGCCAATTATGGGATGCCCAAAGTTCCCGTAACCTTAGTTCCAGGAATGGACCCTGCTATAGCACAAGAGATTGCAGACCGGATATATGACGAGAAAAGAAACAACGCCTGGGCAACGTCTGAAAACTCTTCTCAAAGCAGGCATCAAAATCATCTACACCAAGAGCATGCTCAAGCTCGTAAAATATACAATGATTCTATCTCAGAACATGGCAAACATAAAAATAGAACCTCAGATGTCAACCTACCAAAGCATAAGTCAGGTACCACATCTTCTGAAGCACGCCGCACTCAAACAAACCGAAAATCTGTTAGTCCATCACCAATACGACCCGGTGCTCAGCGAATGAACTCTGGTGTCCCATTTGGGCCGGAGTCATATAATGCTCTGAACCCAAATATGTCCAACTCTGCATCGAACACCTGCCTAAGCGCTGCTTATAATACTAATACAAAAGATGAGGCCAAGATTATCACCCCTGACGGTAGAGAGATAGACCCAAGTGATCACATTCCAGAATCGAATTACGCACCGCTACTTGAGAGTAGGAGCTCTAAGAAGCCGCCTCATACGTCTGATCAGATCTACAAGCAACATTCGAGTGCGCAGCAACCAACAGCAGTAAATGGTCGCAGGCCACTTCAGCGAATTACTCGCCCACCAATAACAAGCACATCCTCAGCACCCCATACTAGCGCAAATTATGTGGCAACAAATTCTGTCCCTCAAAACAACCGAACTCGTCTTCAAAAAATATCAACTCGTATTTCCGCCAATCAAGTAAAACAATTACCCACCCGAGGTATAAACTCTACCCATGCAGGAAATTCTCAAGATATGTACTACAGTAACCAGCCTGAATTCGTTAGTACTCGTGATTCCAACAGCTTTCCAAGAGCTCAAACAATGGAATATCAGTCTGCCGATAATTTTACCATACAAAATTACGGCGTCTGCACTGGCGCTAATGGCTATGGATTCCCTGATTCGGCTTGCACAGTAGGTAGTGGTACGGAGCAATGGTCACTTTCTGACGAAATGCGAAGAATAGACCTTTATAGTGGTAGGGCTTCGAGCAGAGGTTAGCGATGGTTGCGAATTATAAGATGAAGGCATTTAGGATCACTGTTAAATCTGTGTACATTATTGGAGTAAGGTGATAAGAGAACGATGTAGTCAAAGGAAAGTTTACAAATTCTAAACTCTTTGCAACTACCTGAGGTTATACATTATGCAATTAAGTCTGGCTCTCGACATTTGGAGCGTACTGATCCCAAACAGAACTGGACATACTAGGGCAGCACAAGCTGAGTAGTTGGTTGAGGTATGTCACATCTGGTGTAGATGACTAGGATTCTGGCCGACGAGTGTAGATACACGAGAGACCTAGTATAGTCAGAGTTTGGATGTGCGTCTCCAAATCAACCCAAGTACGAGACATTTCTCCACCGGTTAATGTGTAATTAGCCATTTAGCTATATCATTTGTTCAGGGATATTTATCCTGAAAACTTTTTGAATACAGAAACAACCATACTCTGGATTTAATTCGAAAATACAACTAGAGTACGCTAGTTCGTGTAGAACAGTCAACTCTTCTCCGCAAATACCCGCGAATCTGAAGATTCGAAACCTTTGGTTATCCGAGCATGCCTTCGACACTCGTGAAATTGACCACTGCAGGAAATGTGGTCGAGTCTTTCTGGACGCAAACTAGCGATATCCTGTCTTACGTGAAATAGGTACCAAAGCCATCTAGCCTCTAATTGAGGATAATTCTGCATGATGTGAAAATGTGGCATACCGCCATAAACGTGTTTGCAGTGCAGCCTACATCCCAGTCGACGAGTCTGTAACGCACGTGATTCTCATTAATCTGAGGAATTCCTTAAAAATTCTGAAGTTCTATCCCTTTCCAGATTGTAATCATCTTGTCAAATGACAAGGTGTGTCTGGTTGGTGTAAGACCTAGCCGAGTCAGTCAATGTCAAACTTAGGAGTCACGTCAATAACGCTACTCATGCAGATCAGTCGCGTGGAGAAAGTTTGTACTTAGTAGTTTTGAGTCTATCTCACTCTTGTGAATACAACACTATCGCTTCTCATTCTATCTGACCTCCTTCCACTGTGCTAATTCCCTTGTCTTCTCTACAGTCATACAGCTATAGAAGGCCTCCCAATTTAATACATCTCTAGTAATATCATCGCTGTTTGCCCCACTGGATCCATGCTTCACAATTTTTTGTTTGTCCACGAGTGTTCGTACTGTTGTGGGCGTGTGTCTCGAGGCAGATCGACTCTATGTAGAGAGTAGCAATTTAAATAAGGGTGTACTATTTTGGCGTATAGATGGGATGAGGCCTCGGCTGGAATTGAAGTTGTTGGGGAGCCTTGAATCATTGCCTCCTAGGCCAAGCTAATTTTTGTACCGAAATTTGAGTCAATCCGGCCCAGAGAGGGCGTTTCAACGCCAGAATCATAGTATTTGGATATCAACGTGTTAGGTAAAGTGACACCAATCACACTCCTACTACAGCTTAAGCACTAGTGAGGCCGGGCCGGAGCAGGTGAACTACCGTGAAGTACAAATGTATCTCGTCCCACACAAATGACCAGAACCATGCCGAAAGTCATCTGTGTGTTGAATCATAACGATTCCAGCAGCATAGAGTCAAAACAAAAAATACAAACGGAATGTCGCATGAAAGGAGAAAAATAAAGGCCGTCTCCCGTTCATCAATCTACCTCGGCCACCACGCGCCCGAGTCTCGATTACAATCTCTCTTTCCATGCCAAACCACCTAGGAGGAGGGCAAGACTGAATACCTGTACGCGGTGTCCTCTACGAACCTGGGAGTGAAATATTCTCCCACAGCCAAGTTCAGTCAAATTTCGCAATATCAAAGAAGTTGGCCCACGAGGCAAAAATCCAAATTACTCCTCCATGTTGTTATTTCGCTCCCAACAAGTTTGACTCCTATCTTCGTCTCATCAAGTCTACAAGTACGACCAAGTACATCCTCATCCCGATAACCACACCACTCTTCGACCTTCTCTGGCCTCAGTTGACCGCCAAATACACGCCCACGCCGATATTTACACCCGACGGAGGAAGCAAAGCGTGGCGCATAAATCTGGGAGACAGTTATTTGGGATGGACGCGAGAGGGATAAGGACAAGTTTACAAGACGATGCAGAAGAGGGATACGTTTTCGACAGGCGTGAAATATCGGATTTCGGCAAGAGTTTTACGAATTGAGCTTTGTGCGCGCCAAGACTTCGCTTGCGAGAGTGCATCTGACACTATAAAAACAACCCGACGATGGAAGGTGCCGTGGTCCGCCTCCTGGTGGTGTTCTCCGGTATAGTTTGAGTAGCCTGGGCACCTACTCTATTTGGGAAGGAGACGCCTCAGATTACATTTCGCGCGGAGAAAAGTTGATGGATGACGGAGGCATGTCTGGGTAACTCAGGGTTTTTGAGACGTTCCCCTGGGTGGGTATTCACGGATGAGGGTTGACTTGGGGTGAAGAAAAAGCCGCCATAACTTCACAGTGGTACTTGCAAATGAAATCTGAGGCATGAGTGCTCTTCCTTTACGTTGAATCATCTGTTTTGTACTTTTATTTGATATTGTGTCACGGCTAGATAGCTGCATACGCAATTAAAATCTGATGCAAGAAAAAGAAAACCCCCCCCCCACCTAGGCTATCGATATATGACATTCTAGCGGCAGGTATCTCCAATGTCTCGCAACTAACCACCGCATATATTCCACTGTTCTCGACATACTCCCTGAATAGCTGCCATCCGGTTGATACGATCAGGGCTTCCAGCGCTGGTGCCCTCCGTCTTCCGCTTTTCAGTCGCAAGTTCTTTCCTACTGTTGTGAAGTAAGATGGTCAGATCACGTGGTGTTAGCGTTGCTCGGACCTTTCATTTATATCTCTGTTGGTCAGGCTAGCATGTAGAAGTACTCGATCTAAGATATACCCATTCAACACCTACACTGGACAAGATGACCTTCTGAGCTCTCTTCACCACACTCGCAGTGAAGTGTGGTTATCTCATGATTGAAACGATAGAGGTAAGCCGTAAAGTAACCTTGTCCAGTTCAAGCGGCGATCAAGCAAGCAAAGACTCCTCTTGGGAGTGCTGGTTCTAGTGATTTCTTGCGCCTCGTCTCAGGCTCGAGGTCAGCTTAGCGTTTAGGGCGGTTTGGGAGCTACCAGTCCGTTAGCATTTGCCTTGCCAGTTTGCCAGCATGGCGTCCTGAGGAGGTGAGGGTCAATAGATCGTTTGTCGTCCTTGCGTTATCTAGCGAATCGAGCTCTTTTCGAGCAAGCCTATCCGCTAAATCGTTGCCTGACAGCCCTGAGTGGCCCAGAATCAATCCTACTTGTCGAACCTTTTGAGCTGGTTCGGAAGCTTTAATGATTGAGACTGGAGGTATCTGGAAGAATAGCTCGCACAGGAGCTTTCAATTGAAGTAAATAAAAAGATGTAATTATCTGTTTGTCTATACTCCTTTCCCTTTCTCTCAGCTTATATATCTACACATATCTACTACCTGACACATGATGATAATATCTAGAAATAGCTTCCTTACATCATAAGTCACAATCCAAACATGTTGTAGCCAAAATATAATCATAAAACGGCTCAATACCAGTCCACCACGTCTGTTACATGGACGCCAAGCATTTTCTAGCTGAAAAATACCCAAAACGCCAACGGAGGACGAAGGCTGAACACCTGTCAGTGGTGTCCTCTACGAACCTGGGAGTGAAATATTCTCCCAGAGCCGAGATTCAGTCACGACAAAGGGTGAATTTGAGAGCTTTCGTCGAGTTGGCGATCGGGAGGAGTGGTGTCGGCTCATTTTTGGTCGAAAATCCGACTTGCAGAGATTTCACGACTGCACAGCTCAACAAAATCAATCATCTACACCTAAAATAGGAACCGCAGGCAGCCTATCAACTGTCTGATGTTCGCATTACAACAACTGACACCTTCGAGATCTTATTTTCTTTTTCTCTGGAAAATCATCCTCAGCCAAACACATCTCGCGGCCCTCTCCACCATCATCTCACCATCTACCTAAGAAATCCCATACCTCCAAAAGACAAATCGCCAACAAAGAAGCAAGAGGATGTCCGAACCTCCGCAACTGCCAGTCGCTGTGAAGGTACGGTCGAAATACCGGCCTTAAATGCGTCCTCACCTCGGCCAAGGGCACCATCAACTCGACCTGCGACGAATTGTTACTGAAAAAATACGTACGACATTTAGCCGGCACACCAACCAGAGCATTCGACAAAGGCTGGGGCACCGGTGCCTCGGTCTTGAGCTCAAAGTCACATTTTTGACCTCCACTATTAGAGGTACGGCAGCGACGGAGCAAGGCCGGAGGGCTCGACACTTTACAAAGTTTCTGGGATGACGAGATCGGCTGAATGACAGAGGGATGCTGTATGAAGGAACAAAAGGGAATACAAACTGAGGAGGCCTTGGTGGGCGACTGGATGAGGCTTCCAGTGAAGAAAACGACCCTTGGATGAGATGAGGAGATGCTGAGATGAGCCAAAGCTGGGAATGGTTGGAAGGGAAAAGTTACAGATGGCAAAGGTGTCAAGGGCTCGGGCGCGTGGTGGCCGAGGCTGAGGAGGAATTTGCGCTTCGGCGCGCCAAAAGAGGGATTATGGACGGTTGGGCTTGACATGATTCAACACATAGGTGAAGTCCGAGGTGGTCCGGTCATTTAGGTGAGACGAGGTAGATGTCCTTAATGGTAGTTAACCTGATCCAGCCCAGCCCCAACCGTGCTTAAGTTTCAGGAGGAATGCAACGGTAGTCACTTAACCTAGCATGTTAATGAACAAGCCAAACCAAACCCAAAACGCCAAGGTTTTCCTGAGGCAATCAGAAATTGTGTCAGGTGTTAGCTTGGCATGTTATTCTGACAATAATGTTACGATCACGTTAGAAGAATGGAATTTACATGAATCACGAAACACCAAGTCAAGAATACGGATTCCATCAGGCTCTGATCCTGGTCTGACACTACTTTTACGGGCAATCCTGCTC